CATGTTGGAATTAATTTTACGAGCAGCTCTAGTTTAGCTCTTCAGTTTCTTTTTGTATGTTCAGCAATAATGTGTTTGGTTTTTATGAGGTGGGTTTGAGAGAGACAGGACCTTACTGATGAGTTTGGAAGTAAGATTAAGATTCAGGAAAGAGATGGTGAACCACTGAATATTACATTTTTGATTCCAGCTATAACTGGGTTAAGTTTAAGAAGGATGCATACATGTGAAGTCTTACATACTGGGTTTCAGAGAATCAGGGTGTAGAAACACACACTGTGGTGAGAATGACATAGCTTTGGGTCAAGTGAAGAAGAGCCGGGGGGCTTTGACTACAAGTTCAGTGTGGGTAGTGCTGCAACTTTCAAGGAAGCTAATGTGTCCACTGATAGATAAGGAAAATTTGAGTGTCCAAGCAAAAAAAAAAATTGCTGTGTTTCAAATTCTGTTCTTTTAAAAGAGACAATGGCAAATGTGAGCAGGAACAGAGAAATGTACCCAGAAAACCGTGTTGTATGAGAATGATGCTGCTGCTTACCATGGAGGTGTGAGCTCTACCTTCTGATTTCTAGCGTTTGGAAGCCTGTCATTTGGAAGCCAGTCATTTGGAAGCCAGTGCATTGTACAGAATGAGCACTCAAAATTTATTGGACAGAAGAGGAATCAGCTTCTGTAGGGTATATCTATAAGACAGCTATAATGTACACCTACAGTGTAGAAAAAGGAGCTAAAGAAGGAAAACCAGTTAGTCCAAGTTACCAAAAGGCAGATTTTAGATCCATGTCAAGAAATTTTTTAACTTCAGAAGGGTCACAAGCTAACAGGGGAGGCTGAAGTGTCCACAATAACTGTAACCAGGCTAAGTGCCGTAGAATAACCATTCTTAGGTGCAGGGAAGGGAGAGAATCCTTTTCCGTAGGGAATCAGGAAAGCCCTAAAGGGGAGGGAGGGTATAAGTCAGGCCTTGAAGGCAGTTAGGACTTGGACATCCTGAAAGTGTGGTTTTAGGAGTAAATGAGGGGAAATCAGGAGCACTTAAGGGCAATGAACCACACAAAGCAAGGGCATGGAAGCAAGGAATGTCTGGATTTTCTGTGAAGGAATGTAGTACAATGCAGCTTACTTGGAAGGTGAGAGTCCATGGATTCTCCTGGGATTTGTTTTGAAGGTTATTCAGAACAGGAGCCCCAAATTCAGTCCACTCAATGTGAGATTATCATATTATTCAACTGAATATATTTTTGACACTGTGTCATGTGTGTTGATCAGAATTTTATGGGAATTAAAATTTCAATTTCACAAAACTTTTTCAGAGCCTGTCTCTTTCTTAAACCCCTGCAGGCCCACCTGCAGATAAACTGATAAGCTAAACCAACAAGATTTGTTCCTGCCTCCCTGAACCAGATGTGATTGTGCTAGTTTTTGTGGATTAGAGGAATGCTTTTCAAACTATGATGTGCATGGGTCCATGGACCACACTTTGAATAGCAAGGGTTTAGAGTGTATTTTATGGCCACCTTTTCCACTCTGAAGTTTGGCACAAGACATCTTAGCAACACCTTGGAAGGCAGATACAGTTACTGTGTCAATAATGACTTAAACTGGGCAAGGAGAATTGTTTACTCGTGGTGTATTGGTCTATTATTGCGCATCCATATATCTTCCCCTGGAACAAAATTTTACTTCCTATACAAAGAATTTGTACCACTTCAAAAACCCTTCAAAGTGGGTAATGTTTACCCTTGAATCATTTTATCTTAATTTGTCCATAATATCTGCCTTTCCAGATAATATTTGATCTGTAATCACTTTGCAAGGAGAGCATTTTCTTTTGTTTCTAGATTAACTCAGCCTAATACAATTACAAGGATTAAGTTACTATAAACTTTACAGTAGGAAAGTTTTGCAAGCGTTTATCTAATATATAGGGAAATATTTTTAGTTGGAATCTCTGAATTAAATGGTTTGGGGTTTTTTTTAATGATTTTGGTGAAATGATCGGAAAATATTGTTTTAGATACTCACAGGAAAGCCACAGTTACACCGTTAGAAATTAACTTATTTGGATCTGGAAGGTTTTTCAGTTTTTAGGAGGTTCTTCATATATTGCAACTATTCCTATCAACATTTTATGAGTTTCAACTAATGCGAAGAGATTAATTATTAGCCAACTATGAGCCAATTCCTATAGGATTAGAACATAGGATAGGGCCAGCTTTGAGGGTAGGGATGTGTGTACATAAGGGAAGGTGAGGCTAGAATGTAGAGAAAGAGATTCTTAGGCACCAGTGATAAAATTTGCTTACATCATAATTATGCTATTTTTCCTGGAAGTCTGATATGTTCCTTAACTTGGCTTTAACATCTAGGAGGCACCCCTGTCTATTTTGTTTTCATTTTCAGCATAACAGCTTTCCTCTACTTTTTCTACAAGACTTGGGCCACTGATCCAGGCTTCACTAAGGCTTCTGAAGAAGAAAAGAAAATGGTGAGTTTTTTTTGTAATATTACTGACTTTTTTTTAAAATAGGAGGGCATGTAAACTACGGAAGGTCACAGCCATGTTGGTTTTTGCCAGGGCTGCATCTCCAGTGCCTGGCACCTAATAGATGTGACATGAATGTTGATTAAATCAGCAAATGAGATTTCTCCTCTGTCATGCTTATTTATATGAAAGTTTAAAAAATATTTTTATTTTCTATTACATTAATATCCTACCAAGGCTTTTTCAGATACAATTTCCATCAGTAGATATAAGCTCCTACTTCTTTGTAATAATACTTATATAATGATCTTTTAGCTTAAATTCCCCCATCAAACACATGGAGGGTATCTAGGCAGGGGCTAAGGGGAGTCCTTCTCCTTACTGGCTAAGGAGATGCCCCTTCTTTTCCTTGGACGTGAGGAAGATGTCAGATGATATGGTGTGTCTTCCATTGCTCGTGAACATTTAGAATTTGGGGAGGCTCTGTTGTCTTCTTTGTTACTTAAAGCTAATGTTACTGAAAGGCTGTGCCTTTGGTGCTTATAACCGTTAGTTCTGATGTATACAGGTGTTTTTTGTTTCCTCTTTATGAGTGTATATGTGTGTATTTATTTTTCTCTAGCAGATTAGGACTGGGAGATTGTTACCATTCATGGCGAGAAGTAGGGGTGTAGTTTCTGTACATTCTAATTTATTGGCTATGGTTGAAAATGCAACCTTGAAAAGTCACATATTTCAAGCACAGAATTATAAGGTGGCAAGCCTTCCAAATTGCTTTTCTAGCTACCTCAGTTTGGAGAGAGCTGTGAGAATGGTATATAACCAGGCATCATCCATTCCCCAGTAAAACGCAAGCATTAAGTTCACACTTGATGTCTTTCAGAATATCATCACTCTCGCAGAGACCGGCTCTCTGGACTTCAGAACATTTTGTACATCATGTCTTGTGAGTGAGTCTTTTCTTTATAATTTGTTTTTCCCATAGTAAAAGCAGATTCTTGGTTACATCGCCCATGTAAGCATTTGTCAAGTCTTCATGGTATCTTTATACACCTTTCTTTTTACCAGGTGTAAAATTTGTTTTTTAATTTTTGCATTACTGTCAGAACAATTTTCTGCCTTGAATATATGGGAGAAAGATGTTTATAATGTCTTGAAATTGCCTGTGGTTAATGTCTTTGTTTTATTTGCTTTGTCCTGCCGTGAAGCATATGTTAGAACTAACTTGGAGTTAGAGGTTCATGAGGACCCTAGAAACCACTTATTGAAACCTTTAATTTAGCAACTGAGGATTCATAGCCTAAAGGGAAGAAATAACTTTCCCCAGATTTTTGGCAGAGCCAGAAATGTAACTTGGGTTCCCTTTTCCTTGGTGCAATTCTCATTCTGCTCTGTGGTGCTGCCTCATTTCCCTCAGTCAGTGTCAGTAGGCTCTGGAATTCAGATCCCCTTTAGTGTTGGTCTCATTAAAAGATACATGTGAAAGAAAACAGTAATAAGGCATTCCAGAGCCTCTATGTGAACTGATGCTCTATTTAGGATTATTTGTGCCAGTGTCTTTACGATTTAGGAATAAGATTTTGCTTGTGATTTGTTACCACTTTGAGACTCTGATTTTTGCTTGGATTTCTCTTAATTACCCCCTTAGATCAGGAAGCCATTAAGGTCACTCCATTGCCATGTGTGTAACTCCTGTGTGGCTCGATACGATCAACACTGCCTGTGGACTGGACGGTGCATTGGTGAGAGAGTCAAGTTTTCATAGGCCATTTTGAAGTTTAGCTATGTTTAGTTATGGGTGTGACTCAGAAAAAATGGAAAGACATTTTAAGGGGTCCATTCTGTAGCTCTTCCTTGCCAGAGAATTATCTCTGTTGTTTTAGACTTTGGGAAAACTGATTGTTTTTTTTTTTTTTTACATTTTTTATTG